CAAAGGAGCTTCCCTCTGAACATCAGAAAACACTTTTTTACTGTGAGGGTGACCAAGCAGTGGCACAAGTTGTCCAGGGAGGCTGTGGAGTCTCTGTTCCTGGATATATTCAAAAGCTTACTGGACATGTTGCTGGGTAACTGGCTCTGGATATCCCTGCTTGAGCAGGGAATTTGGCCCAGATGACCTCCAGAGGTCCCCTTCAATCACAGCTGTTCTGTGGTTGCTATGTCAAATGATAGGAAAGAAAAACAATTAAATTTTGGGTTAACTAAAATATTCCTTCTTACATCATACAAATATAGATTACATGGAACTTTGTTAATTTAACTTATTCTTTCTTTACTCCATTTTTACATTTGATTCTGGCAGAATGAGTTGATGGAGACCTTCCTCTCAGGTCTATCCTAAAAGTCARTTAACTTGTTCTCAAAATTTGTCATACTTGATTTACAATATCACTATTAGTTTTTATTCTGCTGACTTGAACTCATTTCTCATCATTCGGGCTCAAACAATCAAATGCAGTAAATGAGTTTTCTTTATCTGCCCAAGTTGGCTTTATTGTGCACTGAAAGAAAGCTACTCTGCCTGAGTCTGTTGTAGTAAAGGGGCCTTGAAGTGTTCRGTGTGTTTCAAGTGCTCTTGGAATTCCAAAGGTGATGCAGCAGCTGTGAAAAAACAGCATTCCGTTTAGAGCATATGATCCCCATAGTTTTTGAAGTTAATACATTTTAAGGAGTTTAAGTTACATTGAAGTAACACATTTTAAGGAGTTTGGATTCCTTTTGCCAGTTTGTGTACTTTTTCAGTGTGTACTTACATTGTTTTTAGATGTGGCTGAATGTATCTCTTTGCTGTGCCAATTTACTGCTTAAATAAGCATTAATTCAATGCATGAAGTAGAGGGTTTTCTGGCTGAGTCGGCTTAGATACTGGCTTTTGTAACAGCTACAGTTCATTGTCTTAAATTGAAGAGGGCAACATGCTTAACACTTAAGCTTTTTCATAAAATGCTGTTGATTTTGTTTAATAATGCATGCTCATTTTTGTACAACTCTACAAGTGATTTGCCTTCTAATTAACAAAGTGTTTGTGTCATTTAATAAAATKATAATTTCTCCCTATCCAATTTTATGTAGAGGTGATAGTTTACAGGCTTTGTATGTACATTATGACAGCCTTACTAATTTGAATGGAGCTTCTTGCTGACCAAACCTGCCCCCTTCTCAGAAGTGCTTTGTTCATTCTGTACTGCCAACAACTAGAGATACTGACATGGRTCTCTYACCTTTCCCAGGGGTACCACAGCCTGTGGAGGTTTGTCTAAGCTCTTCCTTCCCACTCTAGGAAGACATATTCACATCATCATTTTTTCCCTGATGYTTGACCATCTCAGGTGGTAGAAGAATGGGTTTTGAGGCTGGGACAGTRAAGGAGACCTGAATCTGAAGAGAAAACGACACTGTTGATGAAAACGACTTCTGTACTGGTCCTACCTGTCCAGTAATACATAGTATTTTGGTTTTACTGCAGCRTAACTGGCAAGCTTGTGGCAAGCTGGGAAACTTTGCGTTGTGTTTCAGCTGTGGAAACGCTCTGCAGAATCTGTGGCATTTCTTCCTGCCCACTAGTTGCTGTAGTCCAAGCTGTGTGGTTGCCAGAGGCAACYCTGGCATTAATGTTGTGGCGACGGCACTGAAAGATAGCTGAAACAGAAATTCAGCATGTAAAGTTTTTTGGATATGTCTAATATTTCTGAATGTGATTAGGCAGGTGTCTGTCCTTCCTTTCTACGGCCCTCGTAAGTGGAAGGGACAGAAAACTTGTGGCAAGAATTGTCACTGCTCCATTCAAAACTGTTGGAACAAACTGGCATGCTCGCAACCGTCATTCYAGGAAGATGCTGTAATTGGTATCTTGGATTTACACTCCTAAGAGAGTTGCTGGACTTCCTGTCCCCTCTAAAGTAACTCTTGACTTGCAGAGGTTATTATATTGAAAWGACAGGTTTATAAAGCAATGATCTCTTGTTATTAGACATATTAAATTGATATATAGCCTGAGGATTTTATTAGTTGTATTACCATAGCTTTTATGTGTACAATTAGACATAAGCCTGTCTGAGGTTTAAGTGCTTGAATAAAAACCTGCTTGGACCCAAGTGTCATGCAAGCAGCAGGTGAGATGCTATTTTTGCAATTATAATGCTGTCCTAATGTAGCTGAATATTTACTGAAATGAAGTGGGTGTGCATTTGTCCGTTTTGATGCTTGTGCAGAATGTTTGTATCCATCTTTGCCAGTTGTTTTTCCTTGTTTACATGCAGTCTGTGTAGGATCTTCCAAAGCATTTCTCCTTCCTGGTTTTCCCCCCACTGCCCCATGCTTTTCCTCAAGAACAGTTGTGGTTTAGGTGTGCCACTTAGATCATGTGGCTCTTCTGAMGGGTGCCTTTGTGTTCTTCCCGATCTATGCTGTTTGTATGCCACTAAACTATCAAAACACCTGGGTTCTGCATAAACAGTGAAAATCGGTCATTTTTTCCTTTTGTGCACCAATTTGTTGCCACCTGTTTATTAAATCTGATGGTTGCAAGTCTTGAGAGGTTTTATACAGCTATTTTCTTTACAGTTTTTAGAAAGCAGGTGAGAGGTAAAGCATCCTCTAGACCTTGAAAAATATTTCAGTCACCTCTGAAAGAAATGTCTGATTCTAAAAAATGACCCTGAGCTAAAAGCCTKTTTTTTGTGTAGTATCCAGGAAATGCAAAAGAGGTCACTGCATTCATGAACCTGGGAAAGAAAAGCAGATTTCTTTATCTGAGGTATTGAAAGTGTCAGTAAATATCAGAGTAATTTGAACAATATTTTGAATCCTGTCTCATTAGACACTTGAAAAAGACAGGCTTGAGGATACCTTTCATGTCTCAAAAGAAACAGAACATTTTTTATTTTAGTTTAAAAACCACTTTATCATCAGTTTATAAATTCACTGCTACTTTGTCTTGAAATAAGCTGGTTTTGAATAGTATAGCTTCTTTTCTTGGTGACTGTTCTTTTCAAAATGAGCCTTTTTTCCTTKGTGCAGAATGTCCTTAGTAAAAGTAAGTCTTCGAGAAGACAGAAGCAGAGCTCCTCRGGTTGCCTAGAGTTACAATTAAAAAAAAAACAACCCACATCTTTGAAAGCCAGATTCAAGGTTTGCCTTTGTTTGCCTCTGGGCACTGCAAAAGCAGTGGTTATTAGATGACTAACAGCTTAGGTGGTTGTTAGTAAAACTCCCAGAATAACTTCCTCAGAAATGTGTGTGTAGCTTGAAAAAATACATGTTTGGTGTGTAATGAGTTTATCACCAGTCTTAGATTGAGAGGAGTATTCAGCTGCCTGATTTTAGTTCAGCTTGTGGAATGGGTGATGAAAGTTATTTTTGGGTCTCCCTCTATAAGTGAAGACAACTGGATCCTGCAAGAACCCTCAAAAGATGAGTGGCCGGAAATTTGGGAGCTCTGTCAAATTTGCATGAATTGAGAGGGTGACTTATTTCRTCTACCATATAGAGTCAGATTAGAAGTGAAGTTTCAGACAAGTAATACCAGTTCTTATTTTCTCAAAAGAGCTTCACTGAATGTAAACCTRGTACACATGTATGTTCATCTATCTCTCAGTATTCTGGTTCTCAGCAATTCTCTTCTTAGTCTTTATATATTTGTATCTTGGTGTTTCGTGTTAATTCTGKTTAATAATCTCTCAAAATCAAGGATTTGGAATGAGTTATAGAAACAAAGGCATCAAAGAGTGAGCCCTCTAGTGTAAGTAACCTGTTTGATAGTGGCTAGAGCTATTTCCTTCAGAGAAGAGCCAACACCTTTAYGGAATAAGGTACTCAGAAAAGAACTGAGTTCCCATGGGAACTGCATGAGACATGCAGTTAGTGGTTTTGTTGTACCTTACCACTTGTTTATATCACTTATGTTTTTCATCCAATTAAATCTAAAGTTTACTTTCTTTGTACTTTTTTAATGGAAAAGTTGTTGTTGTGTTTTCAATACTGATAAAAACTATTTTGTGGTAATTTAGTGTATAATTTTAAAGAACTACAAAGAAGGTTCTTARAAGTTAATGTACACATGAAATATTCTTGAATACATTTCATTTTTCTAGAGCCCTTGCAGTCTTGCTTTCAGACGACACAAGTACAAGAGAGATTAACACAGCTCAGAATTCTGTGACCCTTACTTTTTGTGCAGTTACTGCGTGGCATTGCATGAAGGTGATCTCTGTTGGAAGATGTGCTTTTGCAGCTTGATATTGAAATTATGCCTCTTGTCCAATCCAGTCTTGAAAGGAATTCCTATCCTAAAGGTTTAACATAAACACAATTTAGAGAGTACACTGCATTGAATACATAAATATAGRAAATACAGCTTGCTTTTCTGGGGATCAGTTAGAGTATAGGCATAAACAGAGTATCATCTCTCTYACTTATTTTGAGTTTAAAAGATGAGATTGTTCTGTCAAATCTTTAGGAGCTCAAAAGCCAACAGAAGTTGAAGTCTCAGGAGCAGTTACTATATTTTTGTCTCAGTGTTTTCTTTCTTTTAAACAATTGAAATGGTTCCAAAGAATGTGTTGCTTCTATTGCTGAAGAAAAATCCAGCAAAATTTACTTTTGCATATGACCATTACCTTCTAGGTATTTCAAATGTTAAGAATGTTTTGGTTAAATTAATATATGCATATATGAACCACTTGTGCCAGCAGCTTGAGTCTGTTGAACTATTKAGGAGTTGTTGATTGGTGTAATGTATATTTTTATAGCTAAGGTAATAGAGCATGCTTGGCATGTAACACAGTATATGTGCCTAATAGGTATTTGATTTAACCTGTTTTTAGAAGCTTGTTGGCAACAGGTTATATTTTAAGAGTTACTTGTGCTGTGTAAATAGATTTCTTTTCCAGAGATACATGTATATTTAAAAAAGACCAATCTTTTTTTCAGGTCCCTTTACAGATGTAGTAACTACAAATCTTAAACTACGAAATCCATCAGATAGAAAAGTATGCTTCAAAGTGAAGACCACAGCACCACGTCGATAYTGTGTGAGGCCAAACAGTGGAATTATTGACCCAGGATCCTCTGTAATTGTTTCAGGTAAAAGCAAATGTACGCAGTTGTAGATTGGGTGCTTTAAAAGCCTTTAATGAAATTCCCTAATACTTGATCTTAAAGACTGTTGGAATTATGCCTGCTTTTTAAAATGTTTTTTTAAAAAATGAAAGGGATTCCATTCATTAGTATGATGGCAACTAGATGTAGAGCTGCAATGATACATGAAAAAATACTCCGTATAGAAATACTTGCCTTTGTMACATTTGTCTGTGGCTCTTGGAAAGGAGGAAAAGAAAGTTGGAAATGGGAAGTGACATTAACATTACCTTTGCTTCAAAATACCATATTCATGTTTGTATCTTGAAGTAGAGCATTGCTTGGCTGCTCTGATGTGTTTAAAATGTAACATTTCACAGTTCAWTGCATTTAAGAAAAAATTAGTTTACATTTGTAGCTAGTGGTTTTTCTTAAGAAAATGGGAAAAGACTTGATAAAAAACTAGATGCCAGTCTTTMGATTTGGTAAGTGATTTTTGTAGGTCATTCTCCTGACCATTTTGAGGTAGAATCTCTGTAATAAGGGGAATTCAGGTTGTAGAGATCTCAGGCAATACAGATTGAGCTCCTAGATCTCCTAGATCTAGAAAAGTGATTATTGTAGAACCCTTGGAGACCCCTGAAGCAAAGCAAAGGGGAAGTAATGGAGCAATCCTCAGAGCTTTTCAGACTCACATTCCCATGCCATAGGGAAAGTTTAAAAGAAGCCAGTGAGCTAGCTCCAGGGGATATGTTCAAATGTTGCAAAGAATAATTCAAGAAAATGTTATGATTGATTCAWACCTTAGAGCAACTTTCCTTGTAGGGGTTTTCTAATCTGATACGATCTGTAGACTGGGGTCCTTTAAAACTTCATGATGGYTTACCATGGTCAGTCCAGCATCTGKACTCACGTGGTATTACTGWCTTGGGGATGAAAGATTATTTACTGACAATTGGTTTSAGATTCAAGTAGTCAAAAACGCCTCTTTTTTACAGTCTTCAGCTACAACTTACAGCCATTTTGCCTTAGCTGTGTGTTTGATCTGATAYCTGGGATCTTTCCAGTGGGTAGTTCAATATCACAATCAAGTTCTTGCTGGACTTTCTATTCAGGGAATTGAATAGGTTGAAGCATTACATCCTGTGTATTTTCGTTGTTACAACTCACCCTTTTAAAGCTTCAAATATTTTATTTTTTTAACTGAGTCAGTGTAAACAATATTGTGGCTTCAGGATCACCAGTAAAGGGAAACAGTATCACAGTGCTCTACTCTTCAGTTGGCATAGCAGGAAGTCTTTGATGCGCCTGTTTCTTATTACTGGATTCTCCTGCAGTTATTCAGCTATGGTGACCTCAAGATGTTTTCAAGTGCAGTTGTTAAGTCACTGATTCTACAGTGCTTTTCAGAGCTAAGTTCTCTTCCCCAAAGTGTCAGCTTCATCTTTTTGTTTTTAACATATAATTTCTTCTGGGTCATTTGCTAAGGTAAGTGCGCAGATTATTTTTCTAGTGACCCACTTTATCTCTTCAGTCTCTCAGTTTTCAGTGCTGAGTCATCTTTCATGTAATTAAGAATAGATTTCTCTCACATTGTTGAACAGAAAGAAATAACTATAGGATACTGTGGGCTGAGGCTCTTGTGATCAAAACTGAATGTTGAAGTAGTGTTAGCTGTCTTCAGCCTGTTTAATGCATCTTGTTGATTCAGAGCCAATTTTTAAATTCATTGTTGGATATGCAACTTGACAGTCATTTTAAGGAAGTTCACAGACATTTTAAAATAATTTRTCACTTTTCAATTGTGAATCACTAAGTATGCTTCTTCAGCCATATTTATTAATTTTTTTCCAAAAATACAAATTCAGTAAGAGCTGTTTTTCTTTACCTCAATGACCTAAATTTCGTATTTATTCGTATTATTTAATATATTCTGTTATGTATTGTTAACTTGTTAAAAGCAATTGCTTATTGTTGGGTTTTTTTTCATAATATAGAATCTTATTCTTCTTCCTTCACAGCTTCTTACTGTTACTTGTTACTGTTTTTCCTTCTGCTTTTGCATTTTTTTCTGGCTAAATCAGTATCTCTGCTACAGCTTTTTCATTGCTCTAAAATAGTACATATAGCAGTACCTGTTGTAGGAGTCCATGCAATTTTCCTTATRTTTTTCTGAAACTGCTTCTGCTTCTCCTAATTCATGTAAAGTTATAGTGAGCTGGAATTCATATTCTATGGAAGACAAGTGTATGTACAAATACATACAAATGTATTTGCCAAATAATTCATCTCTCCAGTTCACTGAGTCCTCTTCCTCTGATCAATCTTCCACACATATTTAGATGTTATTTTTTTTTCTCTCTTATACAGCATCTATTTGTTCATGTTGGTATACGAAATGTCTTTTACCTATAGTAATTACAGAAATAATAGTGTCAGCTACACCAGACTCTGACCTTTCAGTCTGTGTTGCTATGGTGTGTGCACTGCCTTTGCATTTTAACTGTCAGTGTCGGTTCAGTGAGAAATAAATCTAAAGTGGATAGCATGTTTGCTGGAGTGATTAGCTGAAGAATCACAGTTTTATTTTTCTTTGGAACAGTAATGCTGCAGCCTTTTGACTATGACCCAAATGAGAAGAGCAAACACAAGTTTATGGTACAAACAACCTATGCACCACCAAATATTACAGATATGGAGGCAGTGGTAAGTAAAAATGGAGGGAAATGTCTGTTGTATTTTTTTTTCTTAAAAAATCGGTCTTAACTATAAATGATTCATGTTTTTGCCGTTTATTTTTGAAGAACTGGGTTTTCTCTGAACAAATGTGACTTCAAATGTGATTCGGGGTTTTTAATAATAAATTCAAGGTCAATTCTTAGAACTTGCATTGTGAGGTTATTGAATGGAGATATTAATCAGTCTAAGGTAAGGACAGTTCACTGTTAAAATGTTATTAAATGTTATACCTTTGTTTGCAGCTAATTTGGCAGGGATAAACAGATTGAATTTGAAGGATTCAAGAGTGTATTTAAACAGCAAGCCTGAAGCTGTATGAAATGGGTGCATTTGATGTGAAAAGTTTTCAGTGATGTGATTTTTCAGTGATTTTCAGTGATTTCAGAAATGTTGAATGGGATTATAATGAATGAAAACATTTTCAAGACTGAGATGTGTCTCTCTACAAGACACCAAGTGGCTAATTTCAGCACAAATGATAGACTTATTTTCTGTTTTAATAGAACATGTTGTAACTTTAGTTTTTAGGCTGCGTTGGTCTGATACAAAATGCAGAAAGAAGATTTATAGGTTTGTGCTTGTAGTTCAGAAGTAAGCTACCTGTTTCTGATTTTACTGGCTGGCAGCAATGGGAGTGATGCCCTCCATTGTCAGAATGTGCCTTTTAGGATATATGTGTACTCACATAAGTTGTCTTAAGGTGGAGGTCAGTGTTGTATATGTTTCTATAACTCTACAAACTCTTCAAAGGAATGCCTGAGTTTACACAGGCACATTTGATGTTCAGTCAAGGCAGAGAAGGAGAGGGGAAACAAAGGATAAAGATGAGATTTTGTTAATCACTRAAACATTTTCATGTTTAGGCTCTGTCTCCTTATATGAAGACAAAGACTACTGTGACGTCACTCTTCACTGGAAGCAGTGGAAAACCTTTTAGATTTTGTGAAGCTTTTGAGACATGAAAGTTAATATATGCCTTTTTGAGTTGATTTAGTTTTTCTTCATATGCTCTAGTAGCTCTTGGCTATGTGTGGCAAATGAAGCATGGCTATGTAGTGGGATATAAAAATCAACTTCAGAAATACCTTTCAAATAACTGCTTTCTTAGTGTGTTCAGGTATACAATACTGAGAAACAGGTCGTGCAGAAAATCAATAATTGTGGTTATAAGTTACTGTATAACTAATGCCACTGGAAAAAAATGATAGGAAGGACGTTATGAAAAATCTGAGTAGTTGAATCTGTAACATCCAATTCTAAGGTAACAGTAGAGGACCTGTTAGAAAAATTGCTGCAGACTTCAGATCAGTCTCTGAGCCTAAGAATTTAGGGCAGCTACATGTAGTGCAGGCTTTGAAAGTTAATTGTCATGTGAGTTGAGAAATTCTGGCATATTTTAGTTATTTAAATATACTGATAACTGTAAGAATTTAAAATGTTTTTTATGAACAGCTTTGAAAAATTCTCTAGGCCCAAATTGTCACATGAAGGGGAGTAAAAGGGGCGGAAGTGGTTRAAAGTCTAAAATTTGAAGAACTAAAGAAATTTACTCTGGAACAAATAGAGAGTCTTCCAATCTTTTGTTTAAAATTGGTGCTTCCAGGATGGGATACAAGAAGTATATTTACTGTGGCATGATAGGGCTAGACCTTCCTTCTCAATCTGATTTAGATGTTACTTGTTTCTCATTGTGTGTTAAGAAACCACTGTATTGTCACCTCCCTATTTCATACAAACCTCTGATGGATCCATCCTTGCATTCAGTTTGCTTTTTCCTYTCCAGACTTGAATAATCATTTCTAGCTTTTGTTACTTCACAGCAGTGAGTGAGAGCAGAAAGCATTGTTGATAAACAAGTCTGAAAATTGCAGTGAGGGTAAGCACAGTATTCAGCTGTATAGGAGGTCAGCACTAAGAGCAAGCTCATGAACTGTTGAGATGTTTGCTTGAGTCCGGCATGTTAAGTAACTGTATTAATTGTTGTCTTAGTGGAAAGAAGCAAAACCTGATGAGTTAATGGACTCCAAATTGAGATGTGTGTTTGAAATGCCCAACGAAAATGATAAACTGGTAAGTATGGACTAAGAAACTGTCATACACTGACTGGTAGGATCTCACAGAAATTTCAGGGTTTTTTTAACCTAGTTGATTTAATGATTAAATGAATTGAAGGAATTTGTACTGAATTAGACAGGAGGGGTGTTCAGTGTAAAACTTTTTAAGGATTCATAGAATCATAAAACTGCCTAGGTTTGAAGGGACCTTCAAATACCATCCAGTCCAAGATCTTGTCTGAAAGGGAACACACTATCCAACCACATCTTAAAAAACTCCAGCAATGGAGACCAGTGCCAAAATCCTACCTTTTTATTATTTTTATACTTTATAGTTTTCAGATGCAATCTCAGTATTATCTTGGGGGGAAGGGGATGTAGTGTTTGCTTTGTGGTCTGGGCTTTTKTGGTTGGCTTTTGTTTTCCCTTTTTGGTAAAGGATAGTTTATGAGATGAAGGTGTAAGCTTCCTAAGTGTGTGTTAAAACAGTAAAAATGTAAGGGTTGAGCATTTATTATCAAGGCATTTAGTTACCTGCTTTCTGGCTTTATTTTATAAAGTGAAAATGTAGTGAGAGAAATGTAGTGGATTATACAAAACTACCTCATTTTGTACTTTCTCCTGAGAAACTGTCCATAGGGACAGAGGAGCTGACTCTTTAATTAAAAAGTCAGCTCTTTACAGCCACTCTTAAGGGGCTTTAGGCCCTCCTAGGGCCAATACTTTAAAGCCACTTTTCTTAGAGTGCAAGAGCTCTCCATCTTGATGTGTAAGAAATGAAGGAAGGCAGGCTGGAAAATGGCATGGCTGAGCAGGGGATTGCTCTTTGCATCGAGGAGTAAGAAGGCAATGCACAGCCAGTGGAAGCTGGGATGTGTGACTTGGGTAGTGCAGGGGTATGGTTTGGGGGTGTGTAGGGGTGGGATCAGGAAAATTAAGGCACAGATAGAATGGGACTTCACAAAGGATGTGAAAAGTAATAAGAAGGGACTACTTAAGTATGTATGTCAGAAAAAAAAGGACAAAGACAGTGAACCCTCTGATAAGAAAGGAGAAATGGYGACAACAAATATGGAGAAGGCTGAGGTACTCACCGAGTTCTTTGCCTCAATCTTCACTGGCTTCTCAKGTCTTGGGGGTTCTCATGGTTGAAAAATGGGACATGAATCTACAGSATGTGCTCACAGCCCAGAAAGCCAATTGCATCTTTCAATCACAAGAAATGTGGCCAGCAGGTCAAGGGAGGTGATTCTCCCTCCCTCTGCTCTGTCCATCTGAAGTCCTGAGTCCAGCTCTGGGTTCCCCAGCATAAGAAGGATGTGGACCTCTTGGAGYAAGTCCAGAGGAGGTTCTTGAAGATGCTTAGAGGGCTGGAGCACCTCTCCTATGAAGGCAGGCTGAGGAAACTRGGGTTGTTCAACCTGGAGAAGAGAAGGCTTTATGGGTGTTGCAGCAACTTTAAACACAGGCAGATAGTGATAGCACAAGGGGGCGTGGTTTTAAAATAAAAGAGAAAATATTTGGATTAGACTGTTGGAGGAAATCCTTTACTCAGGAGGTAGTGAGGCACTGGAACAGGTTTCCCAGAGAAATTGTAGATGTCTCATCTGTGAAGGTGTTCACTGTGTTGGATCCGGCCTTGAACAATCTGATCTAGTGAAAATTGTCCTTGCCCATAGTGGGGGGATTGGAACTAGATGTTRTTTGAGGTTCCTTCCAACCCAAACTATGCTATGATTCTGTGATTTTGAGCAGAGCTGTGGGAATTAGATTTTTCATTTTAATTTTGGGGTTTTTTTCAGATTTGGTGACTTTTCAGAATTAGTAATGCATATTTCAGATGCTGTGAGACTTATATTTCATGTTTTTTGCAGCACTGTGTTTTCCCTCACTAAAAGGTGTGGCAAGTGCAAAACATTAGTGTCATGCATAGTTCATAGAAGTTTGTTACATGATGTGTTTTAGTTTGACTTCATTTTGTTTCTTACTATTGCGGGATTACTTTCTTCCTTTTATTCCCGCTGCCCCCACCCCCAAAGTTCAGATGTTCCTTGGTGTATTTTATGCCCTCTTTTGGATGCCTCATGGGTCAGTGATAAGCAGCTTAAGTATTGATTTGTGTCTCAGTAGAATGTAGTGCCAGGTAAACAGCAATCTTCTCTTGCTTTTTTAATACTTGAGCTAATCAGAATTGAACTGTTAGTGTGTCTGTTTTGATTACTGTGATTATCAACTTCATTGAACTATTTTAGTAGCTTTGTTATTTCACTTTTAAGCTCTGGATGATTTTTCTCTGGGTAAGTAAAACTCTCAAATCATTCTTGGTATTTGTAGAATGATATAGATGCAAGCAAATCTGCCCCGGTACTGAACACGTCTAAGCAGGATGGACCGATGCCAAAACCACATAGTGTTTCACTTAATGATACTGAAACAAGGAAGCTGGTGGAGGAGTGCAAAAGACTTCAAGCAGAGATTATGAAGCTGACAGATGAAAATCGGCACCTGAGAGTAAGTTCTGCTTCCATATTTATACTGCAGTGGCTTCATTCTGCTTGATTGAAAGGTCAGGTTTGTAATTAGGCCAAAAGGTGTGTATGTTCCAGTGAGCAGGTAAACCTGTTAGAATGTCAAGATTATTTCGTAATATGATTTTACTGTCCTGTATATTTTGAATGTATATTTTGAATGTATATTTTGAATGTGTCAGTGATTGAGACTGTGATTATCATGGATAAGACATTGCAGCTGCGTAATTTTCTTCATAAATAAAGTTTTCCTTTTAAAAGTGATCTTAGTTACTTGAAGTCTAAGATTCTCAATCAGTAGCTTTTTAAAAGTGCCTTATTTTTCATTAATAATGAGTAAATGGGATCTAGAGAAGTAACATTTTGAATTACAAASAACAAGTGAGCAAGAACAATTGTTTGGCCGGAGGAGGTAAGCAACACTACTTTCTAGTACCTTTATGTAAAAGTGTCAATTCAGTGACCTGTAATTAGTCACTACATAGTTTTATGTGTCTTTTCTATATATTTGCTTTGRGAACAGTTTTGACAATTTTACTGGCTGTGGTAGTCTTTAAAAGAACTATGAAATAATATGGTATCTTCACATCTGTAATTGTGATAACATTGAAACTAAACAAAGCAGATATTTCTCCTTAATAATAAGGAATTACTGATATTAAATTTTAATATGTAGTAAGTAAGAGCAGGATGCTTTATTGGGCCTAGCAGGATTTTTGAAATTTTTTTAAGCAGAGAGACTAGTGGAGAGAGACTAGTGAATTACTGTCCTTATTTAAAACATGATTTTCTGTGTTCATGTTTTAAATTTTGGTGTGGTATAATGTATGTGCTGGGGATTTTTTAAAAATATTTAAATACTCACTAGTAAATATGGACTTTTGAGTTCAGTTTTTGCAATTGTAATGATGTATTTATATATTTTTTCCATCTGTTTTTTCCTCTCCTCAGGATGAAGGCTTGAGGCTCAGAAAGGTAGCGCACTCGGATAAATCTGGATCGCCCACAGCTTTGGCCCTCAGAGATAATGGCTCTAATTCTCTTCCTTCACTTCTTGTTGTAATTGCAGCCATTTTCATTGGATTCTTTCTAGGGAAGTTCATCTTGTAGAAAGAATAAGTGAGAGAAGCATGCAAAACTGCAGCTTCCTTTTTTTTTTGTTTTTTTTTTTCTTTTTNTTTTTGTTTTCTCTTGGCCAGAAAAAGGTTTGTTTACCTACCACATCATGGGTAGTACGGCCCAAGCGGCTGTTCTTGTGTACAGCATCATAACAGGCTTTGCCTTTAATGATCTCGCACGGTTAGAAAACACAATCTGAAAAGACAAACTGTTCAGCTGCTGGACAAATTGTACATTCAGTCATCAATAGCAGGTATCAGTTGCACAGTCAGTCCTTTATGAAAATTCATAAATAAAGAATTGTTCTTTCTTTCTGTGGTTTTAATAAGAATTCGAAAATTGTTCAGAGTCTTGTAAATGTTATTTTAATAATCCTTTAAAATTTTATCTGTTGCTGTTACCTCTTGACAAATGATTTATTAGATTGCTAATCCCACTCATTCAGGAATACGACAAGAGGTATTCTGGGGAAAATGGTGCCTCTTACTGTGTAAATTTTCTCCTTATCTTACTTTGCTAATATCATGGCAGAATTTCTTTCTTATTCCTTGTGAGGCATTGTTGAGAGTTCTTCATCCTTAACAGTCCTGTCCCATAATATTTAACATGACAAAAGAAATAAAATTGTTAACAGATTTTTCTGCTGGGTAGCCTGTTTGTGTGTGTTGTGCTTTTAGAGGGGATTCTTAACAAGTTCATTGTTCATGGTAATTTGCTACTTGTAACAAACAAATGGCTATTTTGAAGTTTTTTTGCTTAAGTCTCTGGCTTTGACTGTTGTAATTGAAGCTTCAGAAAGAAAAAAGGAAGGTTTCCATTCCATTTGTTAAAAAAAAAATTGTTTTCTGGCTGCTTTCAGCTACGAAGAGGATGGGGACAGAATAATTTGGATATCCAGCAGGTACAAACCGGATATGAATGTTTTCAATATATTAWCAATTTGCTTGGATTGTGCAGGAGTGTAATAATCAACCTTCTGTTCCATCTTTGGATCTTCTGGGTGTCTTCCAGGAGTCAGCATTAATCTTTGATTTTGTAAGGGTACTTAATTCACATATACTAACTTACTCAGTTTATAATTCTGTCGTAGCAGATATTAAAGAATGCAAGTTGAATCATTCAGACACCCATAGTGAATTCCATGACGCAGAAGAGTTGATATTTGCTGAGTTGCTCACCTTTTGCTCAGTTGCTCACCTTTGGGAAATAAAAATCATTTTATGCAACTCTTGGCAGATCTACCCATTTTAGCCATGTATAGCTAAGTTTTAAAAAATGCATTTTTGGGGTCTGAAATGCTTCCCTGCACTTACTCTTATGTCTTGCCTCATCTCTGAATATGTCATAAAAACAAACAGTAGTATTGAAACAAAATATTATCTGTACTTCTGAGTAAGCATAATCCAATACAGGGAATTACTTGTAAACTTGAAMAATTTTTGTGGAAGAGGTATACTCCTGTAAGCAAAATTGTGTATGCTCTTGGACAGCTTGACTTGATGTGGTGCAGCTAAGTGTGTTAGACCTTGATATATGCACACCTTATGTAGCTGAGAAAAAATGTTCTGGGAAAGATGTACATTATCTTGGTTGCCTTTGATTTCTAGTGCTTTTTAAAAACAAAAATACATCATGTTCTGTCATAGCTCTCTGTGATAAACTTTTTTTTTTATAAAATCTTGCACATGTACAAGGAAGATGATGGAGAAAATGCAAATACTGCTTATCTTTTCACTTAAGCATGCAAGCACTGATGTTTCCATTTACTTGTTCCAGTGTCTGCATTCAAGTCTCCTTCCATCCCAGTGACTGGAAAAAAACATGTTAAGGTTTTGATTGTTTTGGTTCCACTGGTTCAGAATGGCGTATTCCTCCTGATTTTTTTCTCTAACAGAACATTGCCACATCAAACTTTCATAGCCTGATCCAAACTGATTACGTGGAAAATAATGAAAGCAATATTGTGCAGGATGTAGTTTGCTTCAGACAGAGCAGTCATTCCTGCATTGAAGGGAGACAAACCAAACAAAACCCTCTGGAAGATTTTAAAATGTTTACAGCAAGGTGTGTGGAGGTTTTCAAAGGTGCTAGCACTTAGAGGACTTCAAAGCGGAAAAAGAAGTCATTGCTCAATGCAGCTGACTCAGGTTTTGATATCTGGCAGCGAAAATATGGTAAAAATAATGATAAAATTGGAATGAAATAACTTTTTTTCATAAAACAGTTGGTGGTAAAACATTGGTCATGGTTTGAGTAATGTTTCCAAGGTGAAAGTGTACAGCGGTCTCGTAACCAGAGTTCTCAGTAATGGTCTAAGGAGACTGTCTTGGTTTCCCGTAATCCCTTCATAGCTGTATATAAAATGTAATGCTAAAACTATTTTGCTCTCAGGAGTCACTTGGATGAGATCAACTGTATTCAGTGAATTATGTAATATGGATTAAATTGTTTGTCTTTGTTCCTGAAATGGTTAGAACTTCTTGCTTTGTCTGCCTGCTTACTTGTGTATGTAAGCACAGGGAAATAGAGTCTCTCCACCTGCTCCAGGTGATATAAGCAGACGGTGATGCCCAGAAAGTCATGTGAGGGTAAATGTGTAACTTCAGTGAAATACACATTGAAGGTTGCTCTTCTGATTTCTCAAAAGGGCAAGATAAGAACAAGTATACAGTATCAAAGTAGCTATTTTAAAGTTTTTATTAATATAGCACTTTAAAAAAGAGTAGTGTGGTTCAGGGGAAAAAAAAAAGCCTAGTTAACTAGAAGATACAGCTTCTGTAGTAATTCTGRGCACCAAATTTAACCCACTTAAAATATACATATATATATATATAAGTTCATTTAAGAAAAAGTTATTTGTATCAATGCACAAGTTATTTGTGCGTTTCTATTCATTCTCTAAAAGCTGTTGACAAACACTATTGCCCAGGCTTGCATGTTTCTGCTGCTATGTTTGAAGTCAACTTACTTAAAAGAAGCATCCAAACAGTAGCTTCATTATCCTCCTGGGAGTAGGAAGGGTGGAGGGAGGAGTTAAAAGGTGACATTTTGCCAAAGGGGGAAAGACAAAGTCAATAAGCAAAACTTATCTTTCAGGCCTTCTACAAAGTTATTAAAAGTTGAAGTGTTAATAAACTGTTGAAAATGGTAGCAGTGTCCTTTTTATTTTGGAACTTCTCCCTGACTTCATTCTGTGAACTGCTGCTAGTGAAGAGGTGTATCTGGTCCCATGGGCAGTGTAACTGCTCTACTCTCGGTTCTGCTGGTAAATGGTGAGAAGCTGCCTTGGATGGAGAGTCAGTGTTGGAGTGAAGAACAGGTGCCCCAATCCAGGCAACACTGAGGATGTTGGTGCGCCTGTCAGATTTACAAGAATCGTCTTGACAAATTTTCCTGTTGGGAGTCCCCAGGCATTTATGTGTGAATTGACTTGCTGGACCAAGCGCTTGTTTCAGGCTGTAGCAAAAGATGGAATGAGAGCTACGCAGTTACAGAGCAGCCCTAACAAATAGTTACTATAATACTGAAATGCCCTGCTCTTCCAAGTTTGGAAGTGGGACTGAAGTTCCATAGCTTCCCCTTTTAACCACATTGGTGCGAATGTAATAGTTCACACCTTGCCTGCTGCTCTGGTTCCCGTGGAATGTCATTGTAGGGGTTGTTGTGGAAGGCCCATCGTGTGTAGTACTCACCACTGCTGCCAGCGAGCCTCTGCTGATCTGAGCTGTGGCAGCTTTAGAGTGCGGACACAGTGGATTGTTGGACAAGAGGGGGAGCTAAACGCAGGAGTCAGTTTTTGCAGGCGTTAGAGCTCCTTCCTGTGGGAGGGACTGAAACTAAATGATAACATGAAGTAAGTAATTTCCTGTCCAAATATGTTTCGCAAGGGCACTCAAGTGTAACCCAGCATCTGACTGAAATTGATTTGTTGTGTTTTTCTGTTTCACTATCTGTTAGGTATGTCTAAGAAGAATTGCTGAATCTGATAGGGCTGCATAAGATGTAATAATGGTATTGTCACCTCTTATTTATTTGCCCTGTATGTGACAAATGATCATGTAGAAATGAGCTCTTGTTTAAAGGCAAAACAGTTGATTGTTATYTCTTATGTCATTGTCATTACTGCCAGGTGGTGGTAAGGTACAGGCACTGGGCATTTGCTGGGACAAAGGGTTTTCGTGTTTGCGTGGTGAACGGGATCTGGAAACTGCTTTGGATGAAATTGTTTCATCCCCTATAAATTATGTTTTAACTAAATCCTGATATGAGCATCTCTACCACGTTGCAAAGTYATCTTATTTTAAACTTGGTACCATTTTATGTAAGGTTAGTAGCAGTGCCAGGAGGGCATTCAATCCCTGTTGACACTGGAGCTACTTTGTTGCTTGYAGTGGCAGGAGGCTGATCTCCCTCTTCAGAAAGTATTTAAAGAGTTGCAGTAACCAGGCATAGAGGTGTGAGACAGACAGCCATAATTACAGCTTAGCAGTCTGAGTTCAAACACTTGAAATAAATGAAACATTTATTGAAAGGTGGCTGAAATAGTTATTGTTACCTTTTAAATTTGTTTATAAGTAAAAAGGGCACTGTGAGTTCTTTCGTTTCGTTAGTGGTGATTTGTTTTGGGTTTTTTTTTTTTTTTTTTTTTTTTTTTTTTTTTTTTTTTTTTTTTTTTTTTTTTTTTTTTTTTTTTTTTTTTTTTTAAAGTTAGACTGTTGATCATCCAAGTTCTGCAAGGAAAAAAAACCCAACAAACAACCAACCAACCAACTGCTACAGTAGAGAAATAATTATTTCAGAATATTATTGAAAGTTTTTCCTAATGTTGGTRCAGGTTCACATGCATAGGTGAATTTAAGGTGGGTAGTAGTTAAATAGCAATCTTTGCGTGTCTTGGTGTGCCTTTTCAAGGTTTTTCCTGGCTTTTGAGATGGGGAAACTGAGGTGCTAGTGTTGAGGCAAATGATTGAGTATATTAAGCACAGCCCCAATTCTCCAGCACATGCTCTGTCCTGTTTCTCATCGAGTATTCCTTGAGCCATGCCCAAGTCTTTTTTTCTGTTTGTTGGATTTCAATTATGCTGCTTTGTGTTGCTTAGACATCTGTAATAGTCTTTTAAAGCAGCTTGCTAAAGGCTTAGCTGTTGCTTTGTTTGTTCCTGTTCAGAGTGTTGAACAGACAGAAAATGTAGCTATTAAGTGTTTAAAAGAGGAATGTGCTCAGGTATTAAAATGCCTGACCTCAGCCAAAGATGGTCGAGGGGGGRAAAAAGGAAAAAAATATGCTAAACATTTGGGTGTGTTGTGTTTGTAGTCTTGAAACATAAAAGTCAGTCTGTTGCAAAAAACTTCTGTGGAGCCAGTGGTGTTTGCACTTTACAAGAAAAAAAAGCAAACAGTCCTAAATGTGTACAGCTGCCCTGTTAGTGGGGGTGTAAATAGCTGCATTAGCTTTCCATGGCAAGGTTATAGAAGCAGTGGGGCTGCAGGGGTGGCTTCTGTGAGAAGCTGCCAGAAGCTTCCTCCCTCTCCTACAGAGGCAATGCCAGCTGGCTCCAGGATGGACACACCACTGGCCGAGGCTGAGCCCATCAGTGATGGTGGTAGTGCCTCTGGGATGGCTGAGTAGGGGGAAA